TTTTTTAAGGTTACCGTTCGGTCTTTTAACGGCCCCAATTTATCGTTACGATTCAGTTCTCTGTGGAGTTTTTAATCAAATACGTGGCGCGGGCTTTTGATTAAAAAATACAGTGCAGGATCAATGCACTGATTTACGCATTGTTTCTGAAGGAAAGCCCACGGTGCGTGACTTCTAGAAGCATCAGTAAAATTCATCACAAAATGATCAAGGGCAAAACCTTCAGGCAAATTATCCCCCATTTAACGTAAAACACAGTAAAGTAAAGTAAGGTAAAGTAAGGTCAAGTAAAGCAAATTAAGATAAAGTAAACTAAAATAAAGTGAAGTAAAGTAGGGTGCAACATCACAATAGTTTTTGCGGCAAGGAAAAATGTGAAATTCAGCTGGATCGGTATAAAAGTCTGTTAATGTAGATACAACTCGGCCAGCCGAATATAAAACTTAGTCGAGCAGGAAAGTATATAGGTAGAAATATAGCGTTGAAATTTCTGCTTTTAATTTTGAAAAGCGACGCTTTTTTTTTCAATGTTCTAGATGCCATCCGAAGCAGGGCAACGATGATTGCGGTGTGTGTAAGCTGTCACCGGAGAAAAAGCTGCACTGTCCATGTGGTCGAACACTTATCACGGAGTTACCGGTGAAACCACGAACCGCTTGCACAGATCCAGTGCCAACATGCAATAATCCATGCAACAAAGTGCTTCCATGTGGCACTCGAGGTTCTTTTTTTCGAAATTTTTTGCTTATAAAGATGCTGATAAGTGTTTTTGGAGCTTTTTTATTTTCCTCGTAAAATTTGATCAGCCGTCATTTTGTGATAGCACATCTTCATTGCCATCATAGCATCTGATAGCTTCATTTGCTTGCGGTATCAGAATTTACTTAGCTTGCGGTCGCTTTGCCATTGGTCATACTTGTTTTTTTTTCACTTTTTTTGAAAGAAATACCATCGAAAGATGATATTTCCTTAAAATAATTTTATTAATTTACAAATTTTGTAATTCTCATCTCCGGCTTTCTTATTTGATTTCCTCTTATTTCATTCGTTGTTAATATACCTTTCTATGGAATTTACTGAAAAGCGAATTATGACGCACAAAAAAAGATTTTTTTTTTAATTGAAAAAATAAAAGTTAGGGATATTAGTGCCATTGGAAATGTAGTACGTACTAGCTCCACCACAGAGGACCTCTCCCGATCAGGTGGTGACAGTGTTTGCTTCATAGCAGCTGCTACTATATAAGATTTGTAAGGACGTGGGCTGGAACTCCAGAATTTTCCGGGGTCGCCAGATTCCAATTGTACGGAAAGTCAGAGAAAAACATTAGAAATGGCCCACGTGTTTTTGGAGTTTGTAATTGAAAGTTTTAATTATCTTACAAATAAAGCTAAGCCTGTCGGTTTTTATTTTCCCTTGAACGGCTGTAAAATATTTAATACTTGAAATGACTTCTAGATTACCAT